TAAATACATAAATCATATCGGAACTTGATAAAGGAATTGTAAAGGGTCGAATTTCATTTACTTGAGTTTTGAACGGGTTACTTGACCGTTAATGAGAATTGATGTTTCCTTGAATATTAGCCTCTTAATAATCTTTGAATCGGTTGTTTATATAGTATTTTCTCTTCTTGTGGAGCGGGCCGAACACCTCGGTAATAGAATAGATGCATCTATGGTTTGAGCTGTTCGATCCTCGGCAGTGCACTAGTTATATATTTGTATGTTGGATCGGGTCGTACGACCTCGGCATAATTCGTGCGTAATAAGTTCGTGGAGCGCAATTATATTTGATATTGTTTCATTAGTTTGAGAGATTAATTTGTTAAATGATGAAAATTAAATTGGGATTTATCATTAGTGAAAGAATTATTTATTTATTTCATGTTATTGAGTTTTCAGTTATATTTATGAATTCATGCTTAATTATAATTTCGGTATTTTATTTTTAGTCCATAGTAAGTGTCAAAGTCGACCCCTCGTCACTACTTAGGTTAGACTAGATACTTACTGGGTACATGTTGTTTATGTACTCACGCTATACTTCTTTCACTAAATGTGCAGGATCTGAGGCAGGTGCATCTGGATATCAGTCTCGGCGCGCATCCTTAATTTCACGAGACTTTGCGGTGAGCTGCCTTCTGAGCCCGTTCTGCAGCAGCCGAAGTCTTTCTTTTGCTTTTATTTTTGTCTATTTCACTTCAGACAGTAGTGTAGCATTCTTTTTGTATAATGTACTAGTACTTCATACACTTGTGACACCAGGTCATGGAAATTATGATAGTAGACACATGATGACTTTTGGGTTATTTTACTTATCTCATTTGAACTTAAAAATTGTTATCTCTCATCTTATAAAATTCTTACTTCCTATTTATGCACTAATAAAAAATTAGCTATTTTAAAAATATTAAAGAAAATAATCAGGTGGTTAGTTCACTGTTGGCTTGCCTAGCGGTAGTGTTGGGCGCCATCACGGCCTATAGGAGAAATTGGGTCGTGACAAACCTTTTGGTATAATTATAATAGGAGTACGAGTTTTTGAGACACCTAATTTAGAAATGGCACAATTAAATCTTTTACTGGTAGTAGGGATGGCAAGCGATGCGGTGTGGCACGGTTGCAGGGCAACCCGCATAAACCCGCAAAGATCTCAACCCGCCCCGCCCCGCCCCGCATAGTATTTCACTCGTGTCCACCGCCCCACATAGACCCGCGTCCACCCGCCCCGCCCCGCACCGCACCAGTATTTTTTTTCATTTGTTTACTTATTTTCTTTTTATATTTTGGGTAGAATTTTCAACTTAATCAACCAAGAAATTGAAAATTATTTTTGTTTCTTAAGTGCTGAATCTCAATTAAAAAAAAAAAACGGTATTAATTCTAGCATTGTGATTTGGAATGAAAATAATCCAAATGAAGCATTGTATGATGACATAGCGTGTGATCATTGTAAAATATTGTAAAATAGTGTTACTGTAATACTATTTCTTAGTTTATGTGAAAATATTATTTTCAGATTATTAAAATATCGCTAAGTAGTATTAACGTATTATTTTTGACGACCTATATCATGAAATCTATACTATATTAAAAGCACGAAGGCCCTTAGCGAAATGTCGTTCGCCTTTTTTAACCCTTTAAAATAGAGTTCATGTTCGACAAAATCGACATTTAAAATTGTTTCCTAATATTTAAAAAATTTAGATCAACTAAATTTTATGCTTTAAATTCTTCCTTACTTGAACTAGGTAAGAAATCATAATATTTAGGACTTTAAAATCAATTAAAAAATATTATTTAAAAAAAAATCAAATAAAAAGAGGAAATGAAAAACTATCAACAACCTCAAATCAACAACAAACCATTGGGAAGGATCAGTGGTACGTGCATTAAAAAAATTGTTATTAATTTATGTAGTTTTCCTTATATAAACCAACTTAATGTTACTTATGCTATTACGAGGAGGAAAAACATAAATGCCACAAAGTTAAATGATGGAAACCACTGTAGACATGAACAAGACTTTTCAAATAAATATGAGAAAGTGATTAATTATTAATATCAGTTTGTATAATTTATCTCATACTATAATATTTGAAAATTACACCTCAATAATTTCAACAAGTAACTATAAAAACATACGAGAGAGAGATGTTGGGCTGTTGGCAATGGTTAAAAAACACGAATAACTTTGCAAATACAAATATCCAAACTTAAATATTAGATTGATTTTCTAGGCTTGAAAAATATAATTCTAAATAAAATTATAACTATAATCAAATATTTAAAGCTTGTAATGAGTTAATATTATTAATTTCAATCAACAAAAATTAAATTATTTCTTTTAATAAGAATAAATATTTAATTTTTGAATTAACAAAATGAAAAAATAAATCCCATTCAGTTTCTTTCCAAATTCATCATATAAGTAAACCCTTTTTTTCAGTTGAAAAAACTTTTAGATACAAAAATTAGATTTTTTATAGGAATAGCATTTCTGGTGGAATGAATAAGAATTAATGCTTAATCGATTATAATATAGTAATAAGCATTAACTGTAAAATCCTATAATACTCTTGAATAAATTTATACATATAATTTCATACATGGAAAGTTAAAAATAAAAAGAGTAGATTAATTAAAATGTAGCGGTTGAATTTACTTTTTGTGATAGTAATTTATCTTTTTAATATATAGAAAATAATTCTTATGGTATTTCTTATATATTAAAGAAATAGAACAAATTACATTTTGCTCGTGAGCAAAAAGAAGGCGTCTTCTGTCAGTTGAATGAGATGATCAAGAACTTATATGGGATAGAGTTTCTTTCATTTTTTGAGTTCGTTAAATAGGATCAACAATTATCATTTTTAGAAAATTACAATTTTTAATTTTACCTTTTATTTTATAATTGAAACCATAATAATATAAAATTTATGTAATTCCTTAAAATATTATATTTATTGAGATAGAGTAACACGCGCAACGCGCGTACTCTAAAACTAGTTATTATTAATATAATAAACAAATTGTTTACATTTCCTTTTTTCAAAGTGGATTAGCAATTTATTGAGAAGCAAATTTTAAGGGTCATATGGTGAGGGAACTCAAAATAAGAAGAAAAATCCTTACACCCGCGTAAACCCGCATAGATCCGCAACCCGCCTCGTCCCGCATCAGTTTTTATGAAAAATACTTCAATCCGCCTCACCTCGCATAGCCTTAAACTCGCCTTGCCCTGCCCCCCATAACTTTAAACCCGCACCGCTCAACACCCACACCGTCCCTTTTGCTGTCCCGGAATGGTAGAAGGGGTTGATAAAGGGGCACAACGGGAGAAAATAAGATAAAGAGGGTCCAACTAGAACGTGGCTAAAAAAAAGAAAAATAGAACGTGGCTGCAATAAAACCAACCCAGAAAAAGTAATATGGAAAAGAAAAGAAGAAAGAGAATAACTCAAGATTTGTCGGTGCATGATTTCACGTGAGAATAGCAAGCGAGATTGGAGATTAGTGATTTCTTTTGTCAAACTTTTTTCGTCAATTTTGCTTCCCTTCTTTGACTAATGACCATATTATGTGAACTTTATGGAAAGATAAAAGAAGTACTTCACAACATTTAACAGCTTGTTTGGATGATTGTTACCTATCGTATCGTATCGTATTGTTACTTTAAATATAATATTTGTTTTGATTGTTACTTAAATTTTATTGTATCGTATCGTTAAATCCGTCGTTACGTAACGATGAAATGTGCCACTTTATGTAACGACCGATTTGGTGTGGTCGCGTCGTTTCCTTTGTTTTTCTCTCAATCTCACCCTTCATTATTATTAAATAATTTTATTTTATCATTTACCCTACCTTTTTATATACCTTATCAAATTTTTCTTTATAATATTGCAAGTTTATTCATCATATCACAGGTGCGTGATACGATGAAACGACGCCAAAACGACACAATCCATCTAAATATTGTATTCATCAAACGATACAGTACAATACAATACAATACAATACGATACGATACATTATGAAACGATACGTAACAACCATCCAAACAAGCTGTTAAGGAAATAAAAAGATTTAATGTCTTCTCTTGTAGGGAGTATAGAAGACCCAATTAGTAGATAGCCGCAGAAGCCACTTCAATTCAAACAGATGCGGATCTAGAATTTAAGTTTTATGGGTTCAAACTGTAAAGTTTTCGGTATTGAACCTATTATATTTTAAAATTATGGGTTCATATTGCTATATATTACAATATTAATGAATTTTTATACATAAATTTATGCTCCGCGCCAAAAATACTGAGTTCCGTTGAACCCGGTACCGATACCTTGCATCCGCGTCTGATTATTCAAATGTTAGCACATTGATATCTCAATAGAAATGGTATGTCCTCTACTCATGATTGGTACTTTATGAGTTACGTTAAGAAAATTACTAGTGAGGAAGGTTCCACTCCCAGAATATGTTCCAATTGACAAGCATCAAGCCTCCATGTTGGCTGTGGTAGCAAACTAGTTAAGCAACAGTACTAAAAGGAAACTTCCATATTTTCTGAAACATATGGCAACTTTTTATTACATAGGGAAGGAGAAGGGAGGGAAAGGGGGACAGTGATAATCGACGCAATTATTAAACTATAAGTTTTGATGGTGAAACATATGCTCACTTCACGTGCTATTTTACGATAAAAATTTACTTGCACTTGGTATTTAACCGAATCATATTAACTAAGTCGTGGTAAATTAAAAAGAAATGTATATTAAATTAACTAGTATGATTTAAGTGACGATAGAGTATATGAAGACAAATGTTATGTATTTATTGAGTTGTTATAAATATATATGAGGTACATAAACTTTTTTCCTATTTCACAATTTGAATACCAAAGCCACTTCTCTCTGAGTTTTTTCCCTGTTTCACAGTTTGAATACCACAGGCACTACTCCCTTTTCCCACTTTACTGTTTGTAACCACTTAACATTCACCCCACTAAGACCCACATCATATCAGGACAAATCTCCATTTAAAGCTTTCACAGCATCTATACATTTAATTTAATTCATTCATTCATCTGTCTCCTTACACCTCTATTACACTACCAGATCCTTCCTCTTTTTGGTTCATCCTAACCACATACCTCTCTTCTTTTTTTAGTAGCTTATTTAGCAGCTTCCCATTTTATCTTACTGACATTAAATCAATCATTAAAAAAAAAAGTGAAAAAATAAAAGGGGGCTCTTTAATACAGTATTCTGCTCCATTATATTCATTCTTGGAACCCCATATCTTTAAAGAAAGAGTAGAACCTATTCAGATTCAAGAATGGACCACTTGAGAAGCAAAGCTCCACCATTTGCCACTGTTTTCTTCCTCTTTCTCACTCTTTCATGGGTTTCTCAGAACACTTACGGACAGCAAAAGCAACCCATTAAAACAGTTGTTGTGTTGGTGTTGGAGAACAGATCTTTTGATCACTTGCTTGGATGGATGAAGAAATCAGTGAATCCTCATATTAATGGTGTCACTGGTAAAGAGTGCAACCAAATGTCAACTAAATCCCAAGTTACTGAAACAATATGCTTCACTGATGATGCTCAGTATGTGGATCCAGACCCTGGTCACTCCTTTGAAGCTGTGGAACAACAGGTATTGTTGACGTCCGTAATCATCTCATCTAAAAGCTTAAACTTGTGTATCGCTCCCTAACGTGGGCCTAATTGTTTTTCATAGGCCAAGCACTTGAACATATTTTATTTGTATATCTTTGTTTTTTGGTTCACAATGAAATTTGAGAGTTTGTTCTGTTCTATATTATATTGAGTTGTGTGACTATCTCTTCTAAAAGCTTTTAACTTTATATTTTAAAACACGCCCCTTCACATATGGCACTCGAAATACTTTGTTTCTTTTTGGTTCAGGATCCTCTTGTCTGTTGTGATACCATATTAAATTATGTGACTGTCTCGTCTAAAAATTTAAGCTGATGTCTCAACAGGTTTTTGGCTCAGGGTCCATTCCTTCAATGTCTGGCTTTGTGGAACAAGCACTCAGTATGTCTCCAAACCTATCAAGAACAGTCATGAGAGGATTTAAGCCCGAAAACGTCCCAATTTACGCGACATTAGTTCGTGAATTCGCAGTATTTGATAGATGGTTCTGTTCAATTCCTGGTCCAACTCAACCAAACAGGCTATTTCTCTACTCTGCCACTTCACATGGTTCCACTAGCCATGTGAAAAAGCAGCTGGCTACTGGATATCCACAAAAGACCATATTCGATTCGCTTCACGAAAATGGAATTGATTTTGGTATATATCACCAGACATTACCAGCAACTCTGTTCTTTAGAAATTTGAGGATGTTGAAGTATATGTTTAAGTACCATTCGTATGATTTGAAGTTCAAGAAAGATGCTAAAAATGGTAATTTGCCGAATTTGACAGTAATTGAGCCAAGGTATTTTGATATTACGGGTTATCCAGCAAATGATGATCACCCATCACATGATGTTGCTAATGGACAAAAATTAGTGAAGGAGATATATGAGACATTAAGAAGTAGTCCACAGTGGAATGAGACACTTTTTATTATTACATATGATGAACATGGTGGATTTTATGATCATGTCCAAACTCCTTATGGTGATGTTCCAAATCCAGATGGAAATACTGGACCTGCACCTAATTTCTTTAAGTTTGATAGGCTTGGCGTTCGTGTACCAACCATTATGGTTTCTCCTTGGATCAAGAAAGGAACTGGTAAGCTTAAAACTTTCTTTCACTAGTTGCTTGTTATAGGAGTTTGATTACTTGTCCTTAGACGTGGCAAGTGGGCGGGTTGGGTCAAATTTGGACGGTCAAAACAGAGATTTGGGTTGCATTTTGACCGCCTTGAGTAACACAATTTTGAACAGAGGCAGACTTAGAGCCCGTTTGGATTGCTTGTTTTAAGTGCTTTTAAGCTAAAATGCTTTTAAGCCATTTTGTAGTGTTTGGATGAAGTAAAAAAGTGCTTTTAAGCACTTGTTTTTAAGCTAAAGTGACAAAAACAAGCCAAAAGCCAAAAGATAGAATTCCTAACTTATGGCTTAAAAACTATTTTGACTTAAAACAAGCCCATCCAAACGGGCTCTTATCCTTAGGGTAGAGGGGTCACTGGCCCTCGGTAAATTCAAAAAAAATATATGTAGATATCTTAACTAACATGTATATATTTCTGTTAGCACCCTAAGACTCAAAGCTTAGGTAGCTACATTGGTCAATTTTGGGGCACAACTTGACCTTTACGGCGCTGCCCGGATCCGATTTTGATTGTTTGAACCCGGTTACTAACACCTAATGTCGCTATCCTAGAATTTAGAACCTATAGAATTTAAATTCTCATTGCACCACTGATTTTTGATAGTTGATGCACCTTCTTTTAGTAGGTAGTCATAGAGTAAGAAAATATTGATCCAAATTTCTACGTGCTACTTTCAGATGGATAAACTAAAATATCTTTTAATACGTCAAGATGTGCAGATCTATCTGTACTGTACTCTTATCGAAGATAGTCACGGGACTAATTAACTCTTGTTTTTGTATTTTTCTGTATAGATATTTCTAAGTTTGTGAATTGTGATTAAGTAATTAATATTCCCTTTTTTGGTTCTGTATTACAGTGATAAGCAAACCAAAGGGACCAAAACCAAATTCGGAGTTTGAGCACTCATCAATCCCTGCAACAATAAAGAAGATATTCAATCTCACATCCAGCTTTTTAACTCATAGAGATGCTTGGGCTGGCACTTTTGAGCAAGTTGTAGGTCAATTGTCATCTCCAAGGTCTGATTGTCCTGGTAAGATAACTATAGTGATTATAGTATTTTGCACAAAGCCGCAAAAATATTCTTAATTAATTGACGAGAATATATTTTTATTAATATACTGTTGGAAGTCTTTAGATAATCTTAGAATAATCATAATTCATAAATGATGGATCTTGTCACGAGGCTTTGTTCCTTTTTTTAATGCTTTCTCGCTGGCTATTTTAATTTTAACAAATCGCCTCCATTCCGCTTCAGTTTATGTGACCATTGTTTTAGTTAAGAACGTACTGCAAATTCAGAATTTAGATTTTATTTAGTAAAAGGACAGCCCGATGCACAATGTATCTTGTATTCACGCATGATTCTGGGAAGGACCACACCCCAACGGGATGTCATGTAAGGCATTCTATCCTGATGCAAACATCACTGGCTGATTCCACGGCTCGAATCTGTAACTTATAGGTTATATAGAGACAGCTTGATCATTGCTCCAACGTTCCCTTTCTTTAGATTTTTACATTGTAATAGTGTAAAAGAACTTTTATACTATTAAGTCATCTAAAATATAACTATAGTCTATAGGTAATCATCGTAAACAGTAAGATTTGTAACTTTAAAAAAACAACAAATTAAAGTATACTGAAGGACTGTTACACCCTCAGTGTATTTTAACGCTTTGTAGCTTAATTGTGATCTGTCATACTTTTTAGGTTACTATTATTAGCTTTTTTTAAGACAGTTACTTAGTAATTGTTTTGTATATGTGACCTGATAGTGTAAAAATTTACAGAAGTTCTACCTGATGTAGCTCCATTGAGGAAGACACAAGCGGATGAAACTCGAGGGCTGTCCGAGTTTCAGAGTGAAATAGTGCAGTTAGCAGCCGTGTTGAATGGAGACCATTTCTTGAGCAGTTTCCCACATGAAATGGGGAAGAAAATGAGCGTGAAAGAAGCTCATAATTACGTAACAGGTGCAGTTTCAAGATTTATTAGTGCAAGCAAAGAAGCTACTAAGTTAGGAGCAGATGAGTCTACCATTGTAGACATGAGATCTTCTCTCACAACTAGATCCTCAGTCCATCACTAGTTAACGAGCAAAGGCGTTTGGACAATATTTGGTTGAAATCGAAAAAAAAAAAAGAGCATTTAGAAGTTTAGTGGAGTATATTATTTGTGGATTTTGACGTCCATATAGTTCATGTTACGTTGTTCCTAGATTCGTCGCTTAAATCCCCAGAAAGAAGAAACTGCAGTAGAGATTAAGTTTTAGTAGCTAGCCTCTAGCAATGTGATATAAGGTAGATTAAATAGTTTAGGTTCATAGGATCTGCTTAATTCCTTCTGGAGCTTCCCCAAATGGTTTGGATTTTTACAAGAACTTTGATTTTTGGGAAATGTTTATTAAGTTTAGACATGTGATTGTACGAGTTGTGATAAAAAAAGAGTCACGGGAGAATGAATTGAAAGAATGCATTGAAAACAAAAGCCTTATACGATTAGATTTTTTTGTTTTTATAATATCACATGCTTTGAAATTATATACTATTTATACTAGTAATTTTATGTATCGAGCTTATTACATATATAATTAGTTCAAAACTGATAATATCATTCAATTTGATAATGTCATGATTTGAGGGTTTTTTCTTTTACAAAGCTTGATTTTTATGTTCTTAATCATCTCAAGGAACACGAGAATAATGATCAGTTGGTCCGAAGTATACCAAAATTGAAGTTTTAAGATGAGCAGAAGAAAAAGCCAAATAATGTTGTATCAAATGCTTGGTTCTTTATTAGCTACGAGTAAAAGTTTTATATTTCCAAGTTGGCCTCATTTCGGCGCGAAAGACTACACATTCATGTGATATAGGAAGAGTAGTTTTTGTCATATATTCCTCAGTCTTGTCCAGTTCTCCAATTCCAAGGCTATACTATTTGTTATAGAAGAAATACCTAAGTTCATGATAATTCGAGTGAAGTTATTTATCATGAGGCTAAGAGGTGTTTGGCTAAGCTTATAAGTTGGTTAAACTAGTTTATAAGCACTTTCCGTTTATCTACGCGTTTGGTAAAGCTTAAAAGTGCTTATAAGTCAAAAATAAGCCAAAACCCATAAGTTGGTCACCCCCAACTAATGAATTTTTAGTTTATAAGCACTTTAATTTTGACCAAGATTTTTACTATTTTATCCTTAAAATATTCATTTCTAGAACAAAACTCCTACACCGATACTCGCTGTCTCAAATATTTTGTCCTATTTAGGTTTATTTTTTACTGAGAAACTTTTGTAAATTTATTAATTATTATAACTTATGATTATATGCTTATCATAAAAATTATCTTATCTAAGCACAATTGTATTTAAAATAAAATGACAAATAGAATATTTTGTATTTATCGATCTAGAATCTAAAATTTTAAAGAAATTACGCCCATATAAGTGTAAACAGTTCTAAGGCTATTTAAGTCATTTTAACAGAAAAAGAACTTATCAGCACTTTTTTATCAAACACTGCAGCAACTTATTATCAATTTCAGCACTTGTACCCAAACACGTAGTAGCTTATTCAATAAATCAATTTCAGCACTTAAAAGTGCTTTTCAGCATCTAATGCTTATCAGCTAATTCAAATCAGCTAATCCAAACGGGCTCTAAATATGCCATTAGTTTCAGTGATCAGAGCTAAAGAAAAGAACTACCACGAAAGGGTAAAAGCTTCTATTGGAACAGTTAAAATAGCACGGGCTAGCCAGTTTTCGAATTGGTAATTCAAAAATAGCCGGCGTTTGCAAAGTCATTGAAAAATAGCCACTATTTTGCTGCAACACGGAAAGTTCCAACATAATATACTGGAGATCGGTGCACCTGGGTATGAACTTCCAGCATATTATGCTGGAACTCCAACACGCGGAAAGTTCCAGCATATTATGCTAGAACTCCAACACGCGGAAAGTTCCAGTATATTATATTGGATCGGTATATTATACTGGAACTCCAGTATATTATACTGCAGTAAATCCGAATTTTGAACAGTGTTTTCGTTCAGATTTATCTTTACATGAAAAGTGACTAAATTTCGATTACTTTTGAGACGGTGGCTATTTTTGAATGACCACTTGTAAATCTTGCTATTTTTGAATTTCTCCCATTGGAACACGCTAAAAAGAAAAATCTATGTTTTTGTAAGTCAGTAATAAATTGTAAACTTATGCTAAAAAATAATTTACAACAGCAGAAAACTACTTCTGCATGAAACAGAAAAACTAATTCAAGAATCCGAATGGTCTACGTTTTTGCAAGTCAGTAATAAATTGAAAAGAAAAATCTATGTTTATTGGCTATTTGGCTGTTACAATCAAACAGTTTGAAGTGCGCTTTCTGTTTTTTTGGGTACAAAATAGTACTTAGGCAAATAGCCGGCCATATTCGTTGTTTATTTTTTTTTAATCATATACATTGATTAAACACCACTATATACATATGATACGTAAATTATGCATATATTATACCTTCACCGGTTATTTTTAATTTAAGCGGTTGGATAAACAGCTATTTAGGTTAATACTTTTTGTGAGAATATAAGTGAGCACAAACTCCCTAATGTCATTCAAATGCGAAATCAAGCACAATTAAAAAGGCAATATGTAAGATTTAAAACAAAAAGCTAATGCAAATTGAAGATAACACCTCACCGTAATTATAAATTCTCTCTGTTGCCGCGCCTAATAGTATATCCCAATTAATATATTTATGGGAGAGGAATCGATCACAAGTTTCCAATGTGAGAAATACTCACCCAACCAACTCAACTGGCTCAAATTTTTTGTTTTTCTTGGAAAGTTGTTCATAACTAAAATAAAATATTTCAAGTAAAAACTATTTTAGGAGACATACATATTTTTCCCCATGAATCCTTTTCAGTCGCGACTTGAACCGGTTAATTAGGAATCATCATAAAACGAATGAATTTCTTTTTTCATATTCTAAAAACCTTCTTGGGATGCAAGGTATAATTCTCTATATTAGCCCCTAGCTTTTGTTTACTTCCCACAAGAAATCTTAGGAAAAATATATCTTTTGTTATCCATATAGTGATGTATTTATAGATTATAAGTAGAATTCTAAAAGAAAGACTAGCTTGCTATAAATAGAATTTTATTTATGGTGAATGTCTATATTTTAGAGAGATTCTAGAGTATGTTACTTTGTGGCTAAGTCACTTTTCCTCTATAAATAGAGGGGTTCTATTTTATTGTAATTGATCCAAAATCAATAAGAATTCTCTCTCGCTCTTTCTTTGGAATATTCTTCTTTATTGTTTCACTACACGAGACTCTAATTGAGTAATAGCTTTAGGATACGTGCATAATGTTCAACTTGTACGTAATATTGAACATAATGATTGTCAATTATTCCATGAACTTAGTTCAGGATTAAATTCTAGATTTAAGGTAAGTATTTTACTTTATTTTTCTCTTTTAAATTCTTGAAATTCTATAATTTGATTTTAAATACAAGCAAAGACAATAAACGTTGTTTATAACATTAATAGAGTTTGCAAGAATTTATAACCACCTGAAGTGGTAAAATTTCTATGTCTTTCCATGATCAAATTCATGTATGATTGTGAGCACAAAAATGGAAATCCGTCCCATTGAATTTGCTTCATTCTCATTCCCTTACAAAAATGTGGTAACAGTATATAATAAGTCTAAAAGAAGACAAAATTATTACCGTAAATGTATCAATGAATGTGGACATGGACGAAATTATAATCGTCATCATTATGGTAATGAGAATAATAAAGATTCTCAAAATAATCCTTCACTCTGTGAAAGTAATGTTTGTCATCGATTTGACATGAGATTTTGTAAAGCACATATAGATGATTGTAGTCTATTCATAATGTGAATGTGACAACATATGATTTATGAATACATATTTATTCTTGGAAGAATATGAACGTGCTAGTGGTAGTGAATATACCATACTCACCTCTAGAAGAAGGTTTGAGATGAAATAAGAAAATAATATCATTATTATGACATGAATGGTCATTGGTCATTGATAGCTTATATGAGTCCACCAAACTATAGAGCACTTGATCCTTTATGAGTTTCTAATGAGAATACTTTATGAAGCACTAAGTAAAAGAGATAAGGGATTTTTACGTGGAAAAATCCCACACAAGGGGACAAAAACCACGACCTACACTTGTAGGCTTTCAACTTCACTAACTTGTAATCTCACTATTACACGCCACTTTGTAATAACTCTATTACAAAGACTTCAACTTAACTAACTTGTGATACTCTTACCACAAGCCACTTTGTGACTCTCTAGTTACAAAGACTTTAAACTTATGACTAAACCTAGTCACAACATAAACTCAGAAGGTTTACGGATTTTGGGTTTCCTAAAACATAACTTCTAAGAAAGCAAGATAGGAGTTACAATGAAGAACAAATAACAAGATTACAACTCAACAACGGATACACATAGACTCTTTGTGGAACAGATCCTTTAGTAGAGTTGTCTTCTTGTTCTTGACACACCAGTGACTTCAATACCAGATGAACACTTTAATGCTTGAGAGAATATCACTGAATGCACAAGTAAAATATGTTGTGCCTTGCACCAGGTTGTTATACCACAAAAGACATCACAATGGTAATGTCAATTCTTGGTACGTGCTTCTTCCCAATGAGAAGTGACTGCTGCACTGTCTGCTGCACTGTCGCGTGTACAGTTGCAGACAGTCACTTTCTGCAATTGTGTTCCAGCTGTATAGTTGACTTATACTTCTGTCAGAGAACCCTAAGGAACCAGGTCCCTGTTGTGTTCCTCTTTATAACAGTTGCGGACAGTCACTTTCTGCTGTTACGTTCCAGCTATACAGTTGACTTGTACTTCTGTCGAAGAACCCTAAGGGACCAGGTCCCTGTTGTGTTCTTCCTTGTGGTTGTTCACTCATTTGCTGGAGATCAGACTGGACATTGTTCTTTTTGAAATGTATACCAGATGTGTCAGGTTCTCTATCTGGTTCTTGACAATAAGTTTGTTAGATCATCAAAACATAAGAAGCATAAGGCTAAGACATTGAAAACCCCATCAATTTCCCCCTTTTTGATGATGACAAACTTAGGCATTGATAGTATTTGTTTAGAGCAGAAATAACCAGATAAGGTACCAGAACCTACACAAGTCCTACACAAGTTCCCCCTGACCTTTTGCTTTTGATTCCCCCTTAATCAGATCCCCTATATTTTGCATCAAGTTCCTACACAAGTTTGCTTTTGATTCCCCCTTAATCAGATCCCCTATATTTTGCATCAAGTTTCTAAACAAGTTCCCCCTGCCTTTTTCCCCTTTTGGAATCATTAAAAAGATACACAAGCAGGCAATCAACATAGAGAAGTCTAACACAGCCGACTCATGCCACATATGTGCACACAACATGACAGAAAAGAGAAGCCATAAGAAAACAACATTGTACAG